TAATGTGCGTTTACTTACAATACATTTTCTTGACAAATAAAATATATTATCAAGAAATACTGGAAGATTCATTGTAGGGATTCTTCCTTACGAGAAACTTCATATGGCAAAGAAATCTGATACAGTATGAGGTAGAGAAAAGAAGCATTTATAATGGGTTGTTATGCATGTAGAAATTGTAGTGAGAATTGTGAATAAGAACAAACTATTTTACAGATGGTCATGCACATTTTTTTTTTTAATATTAACTCATCGATCACATGTTCTACAACACATGTGATCTGTATGTTAAAATGTCCTTGTCCATTGAAATTGGAGAAACACAAGTGAACATAAATCAGCTATTAGAAAATGTGATGTTAATTCACAAATCACAAGACATAATGATTGTAAACATGATATAATACTGTTAACCTGCATAGGAAGTGAAAAAGTACCAAATACCAGAAGAGATGGAAAAAAACAACAACCAGAAGCCTGTTGGATGCATTGGTTTTTCCTCTGGTTCTTTCCTTTAACCTCACTCTTTATAAATAATGACCTGATTTGTCACTGTAACCTTACTCTGCATAAGCCATGTTGTATTGATAATATATTCTATTGTATTATTGAATGAATGGCATCTATTTTTATTTTTACACAAATTTGTGACTATGCTGTGTTTGACGATTCACCTGATTAATCTAATCAGTTCATTACAAGAGACTGCAAGATCTGAACTGGGTTGTCCGATAAAGGAGACAAATTTCACAGTGCCAGGAGGCCTCCAGGATGGGTCTGAAAAGCCCTGCTCTAGATGGTGATGATGGATTTGTTAATAACACTAGATCAGACGTGCCCAAACTCGGTCCTGGAGGGCCGATGTCCTGCAGAGTTAAGCTCCAACCTGCCTCAAGACACCTGCCTGGAGGTTTCTAGTATGCCTAGTAAGAGCTTGATTAGTTGGTTCAGGTGTGTCTAATTGGGGTTGGATCTAAACTCTGCAGGACACCGGCCCTCCAGGACCGAGTTTGGGCACCTCTGCACTAGATGCTTGATATATTGGATCACGTCATACATGCACTTAAGTTTTGTCTAATTGAGATCGTTAAACAATCAGTGATTAAATCATGTTGGTTGAACACCTGTGAAGAGAAACAGATAAACACATCTGGGAACCATTAGACTGAGTTTTAAAAGGACTCTGTGCAGTAGTGTGAGTAAATGATTCACTGATTCACTGTATGTGCTGTGCTGCAAGATGTCAAATTAAAAAATAAAAACAAAAAGACAAAGAGTGTGATAAAGAGAGACTGCAAGTACTCATTTTGGTGCAGTGCAGTGATTTCATTTTTTTGATTACAGTTTAGTAAATTTTAAATGTATGAACTTTATAGTTTTGAATAACATGCTACAGTTATAATTATAACAAGTGTTTTAGTATGTTAATCTGAACATGAAAATAAGTGTACTTCTTTGAGATTAATTCTTTAAGATAAAAAAAAAAAGATTTAATAAAACATTTCATTTGACATTATTGCAAAATGCACTTTTTAAAGATACACTTAATTGCATTAAGAAGCATGATAGTGTACTGTCTTAAGTACTTTTCTCCACAAGTGATGGTAACCAAGGTTGGGACTGAATAACTTGGTTGTCAAGGAAACAACAGAACAAGACAAATTCGCATATCCCAGTTGAGTGTATATCATCTCGTTGCATTTGAAATACTGCAATCCAAGCTTATGGTACGGATTTAAGCTTGTTTCTATTAAAGACCATAAAAAAAGTGTACTGACCATATGCTCTTCCAAATGACAACTTTTTCCAACCACTATCACTAAGTAACAACTCAGGATCAGATTACATCATATTTGGTTGTACTACCTACTGAACATTTACATTTAAAGGGATAGTTCACCCAAAAATGAAAATTGGATGTTTATCTGCTTACCCCCAGGGCATCCAAGATGTGGGTGACTTTGTTTCTTCAGTGTCAACGGACCACTGACACTCCTAATTGAGATTGTAGATAGAGTGTCAATGGTCCATTTGAGAGATAGGTGGCGGTAATGCACTTATAAGTCTGCGATCCGCCGTAAAGCAAGAAGAAGAAGAAGACGCGTCAGGCGCCGGCTGTCGAGAATGCGCTCAGGACAGACAGTTCGGACATTGCGGTGAAAATCAGAGGTAAAACGATATAAATACTGTTCAGTTTCTTGCACAGACCGATCGTTTTGTGTCTTTACACATCAATGTATCGTCACGAGCCGCAGGGTTTAATTTGGTTTTGTTTGTGTATGTTTTTTTGACTCTCAAAGCCGTGATTCCCATTCACTTACATTATATGACTGACAGACTGCAACGATT